ATATGTATATATTTTTTTAAATATATTTTATTGATTTTTACAGAGAGGAAGGGAGAGGGATAGAGAGTGAGAAACATCGATGAGAGAGAAACACCAATCAGCCGCCTCCTGCACGCCCCCTACTGGGGGTGTGCCCGCAACCCAGGTACATGCCCTTGACCGGGAATCGAACCCGGGACCCTTCATTCCACCGGCCGGGGCTCTATCCACTGAGCCAAACCGGTCAGGACAAAAAATATATATTTTTTAAATTTATGTTTATTTTTCATAAGATTTTACTTATTTTTTTGCTCATCCTCACCTGAGGGTATTTTTCCACTGGTTTTTAGGGAGAGTGGAAGAGGGAGAGACAGAGAAACGTCGATCGGTTGCCTCCTGCACACGCCCCGACCAGGACCAGGGCCAGGGAGGAGCCTGCAGCCGAGGTACGTGCCCTTTGACTGGAAATCGAACCCGGGACCCTTAGGTCTGCAGGCTGGCACTCTATCCACTGAGCCACACCGGCCGGGGCTAATATATTTTTTATTGATTTCAGAGAGGAAGGGAGAGGGAGAGAGAGAGAGAAACATCCATGATGAGAGAGAACCCTGGACCGGCTGCCTCCTGCACGCCCCCCACTGGGGATCGAGCCGCAACCCGGGCCTGTGCCCTTGGCCGGGAATCGAACCCGGGACCCTTTGGTCCACAGGCCGACGCTCTATCCATTGAGCCAACCGGTTAGGGCTCAATCATTGATATTTCTCTCTCTCTCTCTCTCTTCCTCCCCCCTTCCCCTCTCTCTACAATCAATAAAAACACATTTTTAAGAGATAAAATAAGAATAGATGCCCTTCATAGTATGCAATGAATGCGGTTTATTCATTGGTCAGTGTTGCCGTGTAGTAAACTATCATACTTCTACCAGAGGCCTGGTGCACGAATTCGTGCACAGGTGGGTCCAGCCAGTCCGCCCCCGAGGGGCGGCGGGTGGTTGGCCGGCTGGCCCCGCCCCCTGGTTGAACCCCCGGTCGAGGGGACAATTTGCCTATTACCCTTTTACTATACCCTTTTACTTACGTACTAGGGCTGCTCTGTGACTTTGCACGAAGCTGTTATAATTAACGTAACAGTTTCCTATCCAACAAAGAGATGACATCGCCTGTCTATTAGGTTGTTACCAGATAATATGCTATTTTAATTAAGACGACACTTACAATAAAGGATTGCGATAGCTGGTCTCTCACTTTGTTACTGTATAACGTACTATCGTAATTTACAGTGTCATTTATGATAAAGAATTAGCATAAGTTGTCTATTACCTTGTTGCTATATAATATGCTATCGTAATTAACCCTGTCATTTATGATAAGGCATTAAGATAGGTTATCTATGACTTTGTTGCTATATAATGTGCTATCGTAATTCACAGTATCATTTACTGTAAAAATTAATACAGCCCTGGCTGGTGTGGCTCAGTGGATAGAGTGTCGGCCTGCGGACTGAAGGGTCCTGGGTTCGATTCCCGGTCAGGGCACATGCCCAGGTTGTGGGTTCGATCCCCAGTGGGGGGCGTGCGGGAGGCAGCCGATCCATGATTCTCTCTCACCATGGATGTTTCTATCTCTCTCTCCCTCTCTCCCTTCCTCTCTGAAATCAATAAAAATACATTAAAAAAAAAAGAATGTAGCTTATCTATTACCCGATGTCACGTTATAACCTGCGATTGTAATTAATAGTGTCGTTCATATAATCTGGGTAATGAATTAGTTCGTTACTGTGCAGTAAGCCACGGCAATGAACCTGACAGTGTCATTATATAGAATTGGTGTAACATCTATTTCTATGTGTCATTATGCAACATCCTGTTAGAATGAATATAATCATCTCTTTCACAATATGGAATCCATGTAGCTTATCACTACGTATTGAATACTATCCTATTGCAATTAATAGAATAAATGCATTTTAGTTAGTGCTATAGGGACTCACATAAACAAATGCATATTTTTAATAAAGATATTTTTTTTTAATATATTTTACTGATTTTTTACAGAGAGGAAGGGAGAGGGACAGAGAGTTAGAAACATCGATGAGAGAGAAACATCGATCAGCTGCCTCCTGCACGCCCCCCACTGGGTATGTGCCCGCAACCA